ACCGTTTGACCATGATTAGTGCTCAAATCCCTCTTTCATTTATTGTTCTAACACACTGCTAGTAGGGTGTGTGTTCATAAACAATATATAACAGCTGAAATAATGTCTTCTTACAGGGGGAACGCCGTTTTTTTCTTTTACATTGGTCCCTTGATTTTATGTTATTGCATCATGTTCTACTCACCCATATAAGTTTTGTGTCATTTGGAGCTGTTCCGAAGATATTCGGTTAGGTTATATCAAGGTAATATCTACCTATTGGCAACGACTTGAAGGCACAAACTAAACTTTTCATAATTTATCAATTATGGTACGCCAGCATTCATAACAGGTAGGCGAATCACTGTCCCCCAAACATCCGCAGTTATATTTTTTATATTTATATGTTTAAAAACAAAGCAGAGTGTGCATGACGTCATCCAACTGCCATGTCCACGTGCATGGCAGTTGGATGTTGGAATACATCCGGTAAAAGTGAAAAAGAAAAAGAGTTATTTCACATTTGCGATTGATGATCCTCCATGGACGGGTTCGTCGTCAAGATGACTTGGATAATAGCGCGTTGTGACAAACACCAGATACAGCACTGGGACTTGACCAACAGCCGATACCGCACTGTGACATCACAAACCAGTAGGTGGCAGTAGTGTTCTTTGACAAACATGGATGCCTCCAGTAAAGCACAGTCAAATAAAAATTACTCTTAATTAAAAACAATTATCATTTATTGAACTGTATGTAATAATTTCATATTTAAAGTACTTTCAGAAGTTTGAATTCCGAATATGAACGGACTTCTCCTTTAAAGCCTCCAGTTAAGTAATTATCACCAGTATGAGTGAATCTGTTAAGACAGAAGTTGGGTCAGAAAAGTCTGTTTAAACTCAATGCCTGGGTGGAAAGCAGCGTGACCTTAGAGAAGCAAATATTCCTGCCCATCAATGTGGGAAGGATTATACATTCGTTTCCAGATGGAGTTCACCCATCCTGCAAGAGGAAAGATTAGTTCTAGGTGGAAAAGATTTGATACGGCTGTAGGAACGAATGTCGCCGGATTGACTTCATCCTCAGAGCGTGCAGCTCAGAGAAATTACTCTCCATCTTTTCTCCTCTAACAGGTTTTTGTCGTTCAGTTTCTGCTGAAATTAAAATAACTTACTGAGGTAAAGAATTCTGATCTCAAAACCCCCCCTCGCCTTTCAACAGTGAACCGTATCCATCGTCTAGAAAAGTACTTCCTCCTCTTGGTGTTTGACAGATTACTTCACTTGACTAAGCTGCAACATTTAGGGATTCAAAAAAAGTAACTTGTGATTATTTTGTGAAGACTAAGTCATTGTAGTGCTAATAATAGCCTGGCCCCCTTTGAATAATGTACAACTGTCTGCTGTTTCTATGGTGATGGATAGCATCTTGCTTACCTCTCAGAAGACCGATTTTCTCTAATATGGTTGGTTAGAGCAGACAGATCATTGGATAATATAAAGCAAACATCAGAACTATTAAAAGAAATGTAACCTTTTCAAGTATGAATTACGAACACCTGACAGAGGTTTTTTTTATGTGTTCTTTGTCAAGAGTTTTTCTTCCACACGTTCACTCAGGTGGATGTCATTTATTTAGACTTTGACTTTGAAAATCAAATTACACCGCTAGATATTGAGTGAAAATGAAGAGATTGAAAGTCTGCTTGGCTCTACAGGAGATTAGCACTGCTATCTCGCAGTGAGAAAGTCCTGATGTTAAATGCCAGCCTTTTGCAGGAAGTGTACCTGTGCAAGTTTGGATTTGCCTCAGCTATTCTGTTTTTCCTCCTACAGTCAAAAAAAAAAGTTTCTATCCTAAATTTGCCTGAAGACTGACGCGCATGCAGGGTTTTTTGTCCTGTGTGTCTCTGATGTGACCTCTCCTATAGAAGATTCTCCTATAGCATGAAATAAATAGGTTTAAATGTATAATTAATTATATAAATGTACCATAAAATAACAAAATCTCCCATGAAATAATTAAATAGAGCTTTTAAGTTATGATATCAAATTATAATAGTTATTTTTAAATAAATCGATTTACGTATACAGTACATGACATTATTTACTTAAATATTCTAATTAGATTTAATAAAATGTGTGAAATATATCTAATAAGCTTATGAGAGGTCTTGCTGCAGATGTCAGCAGAATTAACTTTAGCCCTGCACACAGACTAACACTGGCTCACCTTCTCAGATGAACTTTAAACTGAAGTAGAGATAAAAAGGTTGGAATTGATCATCCAATGTTCTGTAAACAAACTAAAACACGTTCTAGAAGTTATTTACATTTTTACAACAAAATTAGGACTTTAGATTAAAAGAAAACCAGAAAGAAGGTGTGTTATCCTTCACAGGTGATGGATGGATGGATGGATGGATGGATGGATGGATGGATGGATGGATGGATGGATGGATGGATGGATGGAGGGATGGATGGATGGATGGA